CTCCGCCAGCGTATCCCGTTAGCGCAGGCGGGGTTACCATACCATTAAAAAAAAAAACCCATAAAAAAAACTGATTGATATATTATATAAAAATATTAATTGTTAATATAATATATATAATAAAATTGTAATAGGAATATTAAAGGAAATATTAAAAAAAATTGTATAGAGAAATTTATATGAGGTTGTCACTGGCAGCTTAGCCAGCCGGCTTTTTCGACCAACTTAAAAAAAAAAGACGTTCTCTCAATTTGGTTGTATTTTTTTTATGTTTGTCATATCTAAACCGATTTGGAAAATTCTTTATCTCAAAATTGAAACTGTAGTTTAGTTTTTAGTCCTGACTTTCTCCACGTCATTTAAGCATTATTATCTCAAAGTCCATCCACCTCTGTTAAGCCCTCTTCAACTCTGAGACAAATATTTGTTTGCACATAGATGCAGTATTCGATCCGCCAACTTTTTTTTTTTTTTTTTATACAATCTAGAATGGCAAACAAGCTGACGGCCCACCTGATGAAAAGTGGTAACCGTCGCCTATAGACATGAGCACTGATATTATTACTGTACTGATATTACAATATCTTTATTCTGCAACGCGTTATCTTTAAGAAGGTAGATAAAGTTTTGTTGGAGAAATCAGTTCAGGGTACAATAGGACTGATATACCTGAAGAAGGTAAAAGCCCTTAAAATATTAAAAAAAAAAAACAATATTATTGAATCAAACAATTGCATGAAGTCACGATGATTTCATGCTATTGTAATCCACACTATTGTAATACGAAAATGTTTGCTTTCAATTTATAAAGTATATAGAATTTGGTAGTAAATTTGAGACTATAACGTACAGTCTATGAAAACATGCATAATTTTTATTCTATCCTTTTTTTTATACAACTTAGAATGGCAAACAAGCTGTCGGCCCACCTGATGGAAAGTGGTAACCGTCGGCAATAGACATGAGCAGTACCATGGACAACAGAGTATACTGTTTCGCCCATGATACCCCCCATGCGTTACCATTCCTGAGGACTCAGGTGTTATTTCTCTGTACCCTGTAAATTCACGCCATATCCCACCCTTCAAACCGAAACACAGCCATGCAAACACAACTGCTTCACGGTAGAAACACGAATGAGACAGAGGTGCCCGGGCAAACGAAACAGTATACTCTGTTATGTCCATGGTACTGCTCATGTCTATAGGTGACGGTTACCACTTTCCATCAGGTAGGCCGTAAGCTTGTTTGCCATTCTAAGTTGTATAAAAAAAAGAATTATTATCAAGCTGCCTATATGACCTAATTTCAATCTCACCTATTATCCCTTATCTACCTTACCTTACCGTACCTTACTATTGAAAAAGGTCTTTAAAACAGTATTAATGATTTCTTTTTCAGCCCGTAGATGTACTAAATCCAATTATCAATTGCTGAATCGTGACATGACGCATGTAGAGCAGATATTTGCAATACAAAGCTAACGGAAAGTCGTGTATTGTTACTGTCCGACGGCGGCACTCGACACCTCTATTTTGTAAACAAGACGTGTCAACGACTCCACAATTATTCATATTTTTTGCAGTTGTTCATGAGTTTGAAACAAAATCTACCCAATAAACCGCCATATAGACCTGTCATAGAATGGGCCATTATTTTATCGTAGGTGTCGTAAGAGGCGACTAAGGGAACATAATGGTCGGAGGATGGACAACAGCATCCCTTTTAAAACATAACCTAAGCCTAACTACGACGGCCAACCCATCCGCCAAGCATAGCAACTACTGGCAGCCCCCTCTCCCCCCCCCCAAAGCAGGAGATATATGTTCAGCAATGAACACTTAACGGATGATGACGATTTTATAAAAACGGGACGTGGTTTAGATATTTTTTTAACTGTAAAAGGTGAAATTGTAAAATCACATAACCACCTAACACCAGTAATCAATGTGACAACAAATTAACAAAAAGAATGTTTACTCGTAGCTTAATTCGTAGCTTTTGATAAGAAATAGGGGGTACCTTCACCCAACAGTGTGACAACATTGCTTAATAATAAAATATAGAATTAAAAATTCCAAAATTCTTACTATAAAAATGACAAATAAATTTTTAAAAAGACGCCTAAAAGCGAAAAGCCTAATCTAAAAACAATAGAGTATAAACTAATTCAGGGGGGGGGGGAAGGGATTATTAGTAATGGGGTCAAATAGCCCTATTACTAGCAATATACCCTGTCAGGTCGACCTCCATGCGGTTCTCCCTGGAAACCATCGTGACTAATTCTAGTTTAATTCGTCACGATGGGCTAATTGACCTACTTTCATCTTCATCTATCATCCCTCACTGGTACCCCGCCAGTGTATACCAATAGCGCAGACGGGGTTACCATACCATAATCACCCATTAAAAAAAAACTAATTCAGTTTAATTATAATGTACTCTAATAGAAACAAATACGCTGCAATATCATTTGTAAGTCGGATTAGAGATCAAACGATGAGACATCAAACGTTCACAGCGCACACGCGGCCGCGACTCCTGCGCATGTTGCCGCCGCCACCCGCTGTTAGCGCGCTATTGATACGTTTACCTAACCTACATATTCGTTGTAAACCACACCAAACAACATTAATCATACACAGTTAACAATTGGAGCAAATACTTGTTTTTTTTTATGGATGATAATGGAATGGTAACCCCGCCTGTGCTAACGGTATTCGATGGCGGGCACCAGTAAGGAATGATAGGTAAAAATGAAAAAGCAGGTAAGTTAGCCCATCGTAATGAATACATCTGGAGTTTAGCACGATGGTGTCCAGGGAGGACCACGTGCAGGTCAATCTGACAAGGTATATTACTAGCAATGGGGAGGGGGGGAAAGGGATTGTTAGTAATGGAGACAAAATCCCATTGCTAGCAATATACCTAACCAGGCCCCTGGAAACTATCATGATTAATTCTTCATGATGAATTCATCATTATAGGCTAACTGGCCTGTTTTCATTCTCATCTATCACCCTTCACTGGTGCTCCGCCAGCGAATCCCGTTAGCGCGGGCGGGGTTACCAATCCATTATCATCCATTAAAAAAAAAAACAAAAAAACTAGCCATGGGACTGATCTGCATTACTAACAATCCTCCCCCCCCCCCCATGACAAGTACTTGATTAGGCATATGATGTCACAAACGCATATTTAAATGCAAACCAGAGGCAAACAGTACAAATGTCCTCCGCATTTATACCCTTTAATTACTTATGCTTATGTCATTAAATACATATAACTGCTTACATAACTTTACCAGAGGGAGACTTTGTACAAAAGTCGTTTGCTTGGCCACCTCTGTCCCATTCGTGTTTCTAACGTGAAGCAGTTGTGTTTTTGTGGCTGTGTTTCGGTGGGATATGGCAGTGAATTTACAGGGTACAGAGAAATAACATATGAGTCCTCAGAATTGGCAACGCATGGAGGGTATCATGGGTGAAACAGTATACTCTGTTCATGGTACTGCTCATGTCTATAGGCGACGGTTACTACTTTCATCAGGTGGGCCGTCAGCTTGTTTGTCATTCTAAATTGCATAAAAAAAACTTCAACTTAAATTTGTAAGTTAAGCCATACAGAAATTACTATTTATAGAAGATATAACATCTTAATTCTTAGGAATAACTGTCTCACCAAAGATTGACTGGGAGAGAACGCTATACATATAGCATTAAGTCCACCTTTTGTGCCAAACATTTATTGTAATGTGATGAATAAAAAATAAATAAATAAATAGCAACTCATTAGGAGTCAAACGCATTTACGTCGCAAAACCTATGATGTCTATGGTACTGTTCATATCTATAGGCAACGGTAAACACTCTCCATAAGTAAAATGATAAAAACCAAACCTATGGCTAACTACACGTTTTGGGAGACTGTAAGTGTGGTGAGTAATTTATAAATAAATAAAATTAAACAAAAAAAATCAGATTGTCTGCCATTTCAACATGCAACACAACACTGAACGGTGAAATAATAAATTTTCTTTTAGATACCCCCCAAACCACAATCTTAAGATAAACAATATAAATCGAACGAGCGCTCTATGGAACAAATCTATTATGCTAGACTTTTTCTGTGTAAACAATTCGTCGTTAACGACCGCGAATCATTTCTGATTTGTTTCGTGGAAAGTTCCTTTATTTGCTGTATATACATATCTATATGTATATCTTAAATTTGTTACTTCAAATTCATACTAATTTAAGTAGGTATTGGCTGGGTTAGAATAGAAAGTGGTAACCGTCGTCTATAGACATGACCAGCACTATGAGCGTATAAAGAATACATTGCAGTTGGCGACGTCCAAGCAATTCGATATACGTTGCCATTCCTGAGTTGATTCCTTCATGATATTATGTTTCAGTTCCCTGTAATTTCACTGCCATATCCCAGCCCTTCAAACTAAAACACAGCCATGCAAACACACCTGCTTGGCGGTTGAAACACGAATGGAACAAAGAAAAAAAAAAGAAAAAGTTACTCAAACAGACTACTTAAGTACAAGTTTCCTTTGATAAAAAAATATCATTGAAAACAATGTCGTAAAGAGTTTAAGGTCAAAAATTATTACATAAACCTATAAACGTTTAACAACGTAAATCTTTCACAACCTCTTTATAGTTACATTGAGTGATAAATCAAGAAGTTGGATACCAAACGATTTTATACTCAGCCTTTGATCTACTATCATGTTTACTTTGTAAAGAACTGTACAAGAATGGTTCGAACTAACATGTGAACATGTCGATCCGTTCGCAAACGACATGCACACAGAACGATTTTATGTCCGCGCGAACGTTTCATTCGGTTATTTTTAAAAATGTCATTTCCCCGTAGTAATCTTGTCCTTGACTTCACGCCAAGTAACAATAATTAGGTAGGAAAATCAAGTGAACACTAAGGCTGAAGTAAATACGTGTATTAATAGGATAAATTCAATTAATTACCATTCCGATTTATCGAAATCTTCCACGGCAATCGAAGCCAAACACTCGAGGAAACAAGCTGATATCGTATTGCAGTCACACGATGGTACCGAATAAATCGATTTAGTTAAAACAACAACACGACATTCCAACACACTGGCAGTTTACAATAAATCACTATCGAACGCATATATTTCAAAATTAGAACTCAAATCGAATGCGTATTGTAAATTCAAAGTGTCACTCGCGGTCGCTTGGGCGGGAAATTCAGAGGGCGGTCCAACCGGCGCACGCGCTCTTGCCACTGAAACTGGCGATTACGCGCCACGAATACGTTGCCATTGCTACGTCACTGTCCACCATCGTTTGCGGACGGTCGGCCAATACGCCAACATTCGCGACGTACAATTTCAAAATGCGCTTGTTTATTTACAAGATAGCAATTCCGGTGGTGTTCTGCATTTTGTAGATTCGTGGTGACGAACTATCAGACCAACGTACTGCTGGCACAAATGTTTAACGACACATAAAATGGTGTTATTTTAATATTACAGCCGTCCTATAATACAATTCATATCGACGCAAAATACAATTTACGAAGGTTCTTATACATATATTTACATAGTATTGATGTGTGAACAAATCATCGGAATGGTACGCTAGGCACTTGAAACAGGATCTAGTTATTAAACCACCAAAAATAATTTATAGCGTGGCATAATTATAATTTATTACTAAAATCAAAAACAATATTATTAAGAGAAATATTTGATTTTTTTGTTTGTAATGGATAAAAAAAAATCTCCACTGATTTTTAAAGTTTTTCATTTACAGAAAGTTGTACCTTATTTAAAAAAAAAAATAGATATTTTGTACCTATCTGCCCGTACAATGCCGGGGCTGGTCGCCAGTAAACAATAATTTCTTTATAAGTTCCACTACTTACAGCATCATCATATTCTTATATATCATAATTTATTGAATTTTTCCAAAGTCTCTCCATATTTCGACATAAAAAGCAGTCAATGACATGTGGCACCTTTTGAATTCCTGTAACATTTCTTATGGGTCATTCGTTACTCGCTCTCTTTTGAAAGAGCACTATCTGTATTCCTAATATTAACATCCTAATATTATTACTCTAAGGATCAGTATTAAATATTTTTTTATATAGAATTGTGTTAGAACAGATTTACATTCAACTCTCCATGTTCCATACTATAGTAATTTTGTTAAACTATCAAATTGAAATTGTAATGTTGAAAAAATTAATAGAAATCATTCCTCAGAATCAATTCCAGTGTCTACAATTCTATATGTACAGAGTTCGTACATAGTGTGTACGGAGATACGTAGCTTTTAGACAAGACATATAGACCATCTTAACCACTTCTTAATTTTTCCATTTTCTGTAATTATTTCATTTTATGGAATTATGAACCGTTGATCACCGTGTGGTTCCAGCATAGATTAAGCCACACCTTCTTTTTCCGTGTGTGTTGTAAAAGGCGACTACGAAAACTTAATGGACAAGGGATGGGAAGCGTTCCTATTTAAACATTACCGAAACCTAATTACATTTTTCAACCCGCCTGCCAAACGAGATAACTTCTGCCTAAACCCCCCAAAAGGGGGAGGCCTATGTTCAGTAGTGGCCAGTTAACGGCTGATATGATGATGATGATGGTGAACCAGTGATAATAAACCAAACAAATATGAATAACGTCAAATAAAATCAGTAGGCTGGCCAACTAGTATTTTGAATTTTTATGCACTCGGCGTAATATGGGCAGGTCCAGGGTTACGTTCACCACAATGACAATAGCCGACAAATATTTCTAGAGCAGCCTATCAAAGGATAGGCTATAGGTATAGATAGATATAGATAGGTAAAAGATGATCATATTTATTTATAACATTAGTCATACTTCAAAAACGGAGGAAAATTCTAAATTCGTTTATATTTCTTAGGGTTTTTTTAATGGGTGATAATGGAATGGTAACCCCGCCTGCGCTATCGGTATACGCTGGCGGAGCACCAGTGAAGAATGATAGGTGAGGATGAAACAGGTCAGTTGGCCCATCGTGACGAATTCAACAAGAATTGTTCACGATGGTTTCCATGGGGAATCACGTGGAGGTCGACCTAATGGGGCTGTCAAACTCCATTGCTAACAATCCCTTTCCTCCCCTATTTTTTAGGATTTGTGACCTTAAAACTCCGGCAATTATATATCTATTTGGAATATTCTTTTTTTATTTGAAACAATGTACTTACAGATTTATCTCATAGATTTTTTATCAAAATCGGCTCAGTAATTAATCTTTTAAATCAAAATAACTAAGTTCGTCACGACTGAAATAGGTGTATGGTATTTCTTTTTGTGGAACAAAACTTGAATTATTTTTATTTAATTCATTTATAGCGTCAACAATCTTGTAGCTACAGAGTAACGGACAAAAGATGACGCGGCCGTCCCTTTGTTGAGTACATATTATTTATAAAGCCTTTGTGTGCCCGTTTATTGTTTATTTTTTAACTTTTGTACTCCCTTTTGTAAAACGAAACATTTGGTCGCGAGAACACCAAAGAAAATTTGCGTAATGCCGTAAAAACATTATGTTTCCAGTCAGTACTGTTTGTGAATAAACTGTACCTAATTATATACTTCTAAAAATATTCTTACAGAGATAACAGTGATATATATATTACCAGAGGGATCCTTTGTACAAAAGTTGTTTGCTTGGGCACATCTGTCCCATTCGTGTTTCAACCGTGAAGCAGTTGTATTTTCATGGCTGTGTTTTGATTTGAAGGGTGGCATATGGCGTGAATTTACAGGATACAGAGGAATAACACCTAAGTCATGTTATGTGCATGGTACTGCTCATGTCTATAGGCGACGGTTACCACTTTCCATGGGGCTGTCAGCTTGTTTGCCTTCTAAGTACTATATATATATATATATATATATATATATATATATATATATATATATATATATATATATTGTATAATAATATTAAAACTAGTATAAGCTAACGTTGTGCGTAGCAATAAACGGTGTACAATTTTAAAGCAATTATTTAATTTTAAAGCTTCTTATAATGAAAGTAATGTGCATCGTATTACTGTAGCTGTACCTAAATAAATAAATTAAATACAACTAACTAATCACAACCAGATTGTCTGAACCAATTTTCATGATATCACCAGCTTAATGTACTGAATGAGTGTATTACTCCTGAGTTACGTTCCTCGAATGCATTATTACGGGAGCTGATTCCTTGAAACTTAATCAAGTTCAAAAGCGAGCCAACATCTTTGTCTTCATCCTTGGAACCGAAAATATATCTTGTTCAGAATGATTTAGATACATTTCATAGGAAAATCACGCAAAAAAAGTGTTAAGTGTTGTCTAAAAATAATTGGTTTACTAGGAAATTTAGTATATTACAAGCAGCAAGTATATAATGTTTAAGGAAAATGGAAATATACTTGCTGATCAAGATGAACATTTATATCAAATGAGCTATATGTTCGTTGCCCTTATATCATACAAAAAAAAATAAAGCAATCATTACACATATGATGAAAGTGAAAATATGTATTTATTACCTCTTGTTTAAATAATACAAAAGTAATTTTATTCAAATTTGGTGTACACAAAGTATTTGCACTTGAAAAGTACACAGGTTACTTTTTACATCGACATAATCCCAGCCACACGGGGGGAAAGGGATTGTTAGTAATGGAGTTTGACAGCCCCCTTGCTAGAAATATGCCTTATTAGGCCGACCTCCACGTAATTCCCCCTGGGAACCATCGTGAACAATTCTTGTTGAATTCGTCACGATGGGCTAACTGACCTACTTCATTCCTCACCTATCATCCTTCACTGGTGCCCCGCCGGTGTATACCGATAACGCGGGTGGGGTTACCGTTCCATTATCATCCATTAAAAAAAAATCCCAGCCACACAGAAAAAATCTATGGTAAAAACTAGTAAACATATAAACTGTAACATAAAATAGAATGGCTGTGTTTCAGTTTGAAGGGCGATATGGCGTGAATTTACTGGGTACAGAGGAATAACACCTGAGTCCTCAGAATGGCAATACATGAGAGGTATCATGGGCGAAACAGTATACTCTGTTATGTCCATGGTACTGCTCATGTCTATACGCGACGGTTACCATTTACCATCAGGTGGGCCGACAGCTTGTTTGCCATTCTAAGTTGTATAAAAAATATCCATTATATTTCAAAAGATCGACCAATTGACTAACTGGATTCCAGTTGGAGTGGAAACCATTATTGCAAACAGCTCCCACGACTCTCCGGCTGTCGCAACAAACAATTACATCGCAAACAAGATACATAAAACGCTCGTAAATTCATGTCGATTCGCAATTTTAGCGACTCCTCTCATATCTACGTCAACTGTGACATTCCCGGACCTCGTTCAACCCAATATGATGACAAGAGTCAACAACCACTCGGCTTTGTAACATACTTAAAACAGACATGTCTCTGTGACAGATAATTAAATACGTATTTCATTATACGTCGTAGTCTCCGGTACACGGAACATCTATCTATATGTTTATACAGGGTTAAATTGAAAACATAAGCATTTATTACTGAATGTTTTCTCTAAAGGTTTTCATATTTTCAGCTGATTTTAAAAATAGGAAGATTCTTAATTCGGTTGCGATTTTTATATTTGTTACCTCATAACTCCGTCAGTTCTAAACTATTTTGAAAAATTCTCTTTTTATCTAAAAAATATACTTATAAATTGATCTTATAGAAATTTTATCAAAATCGGTTTAGTAATTTAGTTTTGAAATTAAAAATTTTGCCGCACTCGAAGTCGATTTTTTCTGTGGAGCACAAACTTTAATTATCACTTGTCGTATAAGAACTTCCATTAAAGTAGGTACAATAGTCGTAGTAAATAGTACTTCAATTTTACCTTATTTATTTGTTTATTTATATGTACATATTTTTGGCGAGCTTTACAGGTTTACCAATACACTCACTAAAAACTTAAAAATCAAACATTATAATGATACAATAATGGAAAAATAATAATAATAATAATAAGTCTAATTATGCTATAAAAAATAAATATTAAATATGAATTTCTCCGTAATTTGTTACCGCTCTGCGAAAATCACCAAATATTTATATCAGCCACTAGGCCCGTAAGACACGGTCACGACGAAAGTCTTTCTCCATGCCAAATTAATATTTAGCTTATTAAAAGTATTTATTTAATAGCCCAATACCTTTAAGTCATTAAGAGGTAACAAACTTTATTATTATTTTTATATTTATAATATTAGAAAAAAGGTTTATTAAGATTTTAAACAAAATCCTTGTTCAA